CAGTGTCAGTTGTGTGGGGAAGCCCAGGAAAAGCCACTTCATGGAGTGAATGGTGGCAATTCCCCCCCAACACATTGGGGCATTTTGTGATTTGATTTCTATGCAGGTTCACTCAGGTGAACTAAATGTACTAATTATATGACTTTTAACTACTGTCGTTCGTATAACAATCATTTCTAATTATTAAGTAGTATGTGGACTTTTGAGTCTAGGGGGAAAAAGCATTCATCCTGTGGATTTGAGTGCTTTGATTACTATGGCAGCCTTTTCTCATTGTAAATTAATAAACTGACATGATTATTATACATCAGGCCCACAGAATTTGGTTATTATGGGTCCAGCTGAAAGATGGATCCACTCTAGGAGTACTGGCATAATTGTTACTGAATCTTCCTGGTTGAGGGCAGTTAGATTCCAATGTGTGGTAATTTCACTAAGGAAAGTACTTCTGTCCTTTAATTTCTTTGAGAAACAGCTGGCTGGCCTGTTTATCTGGTGACATTAATAATAATACACTAGAAGTCTTTAATTTCTAAAGTCTGAACACTAACCCTATGGAGAGAGTGTTCATCTTTTGTCTCCTTCCTTTCCACTTAACCATAGCTTTAATTAGGGTTCCTTAACACTAAGTAAATAATTGAGGTGGGGACTTCATTCACTTTCTGTGTTTCCAGTACTAAACTCACCAATGGACATCTGATGACATGATCCAAAAATCACGTAAATTACTGAAGAACAGAAAGCTGCATACGAGATATTGAAAGGAGGAATCAGTTGCCTTGCCAGCAAACTAAATGTCAGTCCTGAAAAGCAAGATAATTAAAGTAAGAAAAGGTAGCCTGGCTTTTAAAAGCACCTTAAATAAAAACTATAAATAATATTTAAAATGAAAAGGTTCTATATATCCAACTAAGTATGGTTACAGTATCCCTTGGCATTCAGCCTTTAGTTAGTACCTTTTATTATCTCCTTTGATTCCTAGCATCTTTTCCTATTATACCACGTGCTTTTAAATCTCAGTTCTAAATCATAGACTTACACACCTTTCACTGTGAGGTCTTCATGCTAATTATGGAAAGCAAAGATCACAGCAATAAGACCTCTAATTCCAACAGCTCAGAAGCTGCCCTTCTCCCATCCCCAGCCTAGTACAAGAAGGCCCTGGTAATTCTCCAGGACTGGAGATAAAGCTGGGGAGCAAGGCAAGAATTACACATAACTGACTTGACTCCAAGTTGGTCTATCTTCCGTATGCTAATCACTGTCATCTCTTCCTTCAGCTCTTTCTTCAATACTTTCTTTTCTAAAAAGCACCACGAGAATTAGGAAATTTTGAAGCAAATGAATTAATATGCATGGTGTCATCCTTTGATTCTCAGACCCATAGCTTCTGCCTAGAGAGCCTCAGCTTACATCATACCCGTGTGCTCATCTGAATTCTGTTATGAGTCCAGTGAGCTGATTTATCGTCATAGACAAGAAAGGCTCCCTTTTTATGGAAAAGTTCAAATATATACAAAAATAGAGTATAATGAACTTCTATGTATCCGTCGCCAGCTTCAACAATGGTTAAATTCATGGCAAATCTTGTTTCATCTATGCCCCCTCTTCTTTCTCACTTCATATTATTTTTAAGCGAATCCAATACATTAAATCATTTCATCTGTAGATTTTCTTTTAATTTAATTATAATATTATCATCACACCTAAGAAATTAAGAATAGTTCTTTAACATTATCAAATATCCAGGCAATGGTCACATTTTCCTGTTTATCTCATTAATGGTTGTTGTGGTAGAGGTCCTCTAAGATGATCAGCAATGCTAATTGGTATTCATGTCCTCGCGTGATCCCCACCCCATAAGTGGAAAATGGATCTTGTAACTTGCTTCTAATAAATAGGCTACAACGAAAAAGACAGGATATCACTTTTGAGATGAGGTTGCAAGAAGGCTGTGGCTTCTGTCCTGGTTGCTCTCTGACTCTCTTTCATTCAGGTCACCAGCTGCCAGAGTTGTCTTCAAGGGTGTGTGACTGATGCAATTACATAGGGCCCTGGGCTAAGAAGTCTCCAAACTTGTCTTTATTCCCTTCTCTGATCATCTTGAAATTATGAATAACTTTTGAACTAGGGGCTCTGCATTTTCATTTTACATTGGGTTTCACACATGTAGTTGGTCTTGTCAGCTGCCATGTTGTGAGGACACTCAAGGAGCCCCTGGAGAGGCCCATATGGCAAGAAAACCAGGCCTGCCAGAAAACACATGAGTGAGCCTGGAAACTGATCTTCCAACCTCTATAGCAGGGGTCCCCAACCCCCAGGCCACGGTACCAGTCCGTGGCCTGTTAGGAACTGAGCCGCAAAGCAGGGGGAGTGGCGGGTGAGCAAGCAAAGCTTCATCTGTATTTGCAGCCACTCCCCAGCGCTAGCATCACCACCTCAGCTCCACCTCAGATCATCAGGCATTAGATTCTCATAGGAGCACTAGTCCCTGGAGCCAAAAAGATTGGGGACCACTGCTCTACAGAGTCTTGAGATGACTGACACCTTGACTGCAACCTCATGAAAGACCTCGAGGAAGGAAGGAAGGAAGGAAGGAGAAGGAAGGAAGGAAGGAAGGAAGGAAGGAAAGATAGTGGGTTTGGGGGTAATTTTTAAAAAATTATTTACTATTATATGATGTACTTTCTTTTACAATATTTGTGTTTACATGAGGACTCAAATAAGTTCTTCATATTGACTGATATGTCTCTGAAGTCTTTGGTAATTTACGGGTTCCATTTCCCCATTTTTTTCTAAGAAAGCGCCACTGACTGCAAGAAACAGAAAACCTGCTCAAATTAGCTTAAGCAAAATAAGAAATTTATTAAAAGAGTACAACGGGCAATTGGGCCTCATCAGAGACTGGAACCAGAACCAAAAAGTCATCAACACTCAAGGCAGCTACTTCCCCAACCTTTTTGTCTCTAAGCTTGCGTGGTTTCCTGTCTTTGTTTCTAGTTTGGGGCTATAATGAATAATATTGCTATGAATATTTTTATATGCAGGTCTTCTGGTGCATAGATGTATAAGTTCCTTGAGATAATATACCCTGAAGCATAACTGCTGGGGTATTGACTAGAAAATGCCAAACTGTTTTCCAAATAGTTGTACATTTACCCTCCCACAAGCACTGCATGATAGTTCCCATTATCCACATCTGCATTAGCACATCATACTGTCAGATTTTTAATTTTAATGTGCATGAGTTAGTGTGTAACTCATTTTAATTTCAATTTTCACTTCACAAATTACCAATAATGCTGATCAATCTTATTGTTCCCTTACAGATTTGTGGGAGTAAATTGTCCTTTGTTGGGTATATTGTTACAAAATCTCTCTCATTCTGTAGTTTGCTTTTCAATTTTTATGGTGTCTTTGAATGAACTGAAGTCCTTAACTTCTACTTAATTCAATTTATCAGTCTTTTTCTTTCGGGCTAGTATTTTTTTGTGTCTTGTTTAAGAAAGCATTTCCTACCTCAAGATCATGAAGATATTCTCCTAGATTATTCCAAAAAGTCTTCATTGTTTTACTTTTTACACTCATGTCTTTAATCAATCAGTAATAGGTTCTTGTGTATGGTGTGAGGTAGAGTTCTAAAAATTGTTTTTTCATACCAGAATTCAATTGTTTCACATAATTAAAAAGTCTGTTTCTACAGTGACACATCTGATATAAACTATGCAACTTACATATGTGTGTGTGACTCTTTTCTGTTCCATTGGCCTAATTTATCTCTGCAATAGCACGCTCTCTTACTTTTTCAGTAATTTAGTAATAGTTTTGATAATTAATTTAGTAATCCCCATTTTTATTGAGAAATGTAACATACACATAGAAAGTGCATTAAAATAGGTGTTGAATTTAATAAATATTTACAAAACAAACACCCATGTTACCACCGCCCAGGTCTTTGACCACAACTTCATTTCTTCCCACAGCGATATTCATTATTTTGACTTTTGTGGTAATTTCTTTGCTTTTCTTTATAGTTTTACCACTAGCATAGATATCTCTAAACAATATAGTTTAGTTCAGCCCACTTTTGAACTTTATATTAATGGAGTTATACTACATATAATTTTTATTTCTGTATCTTTTGCTCTAACCTAGGAATATGCTATCTTTCGATTAAGATCTTCATTAATATTACTAAGTAGTATAATTTCTTTTTAAAGGGTTTGCACATCTTAGTTTCATTAGAATTGAATTCATATTTATTATGCTTTTGTAAATGGTATCTTTAAAATTTTTTTCACTTGCTCTTTCCTGCAGGTATATAGAAACATAATTGATTTTTATGTTCTGACCTTGTATCCAGCAACCTTGATAAAATCTTACTAATTCTACTAATTTATCTGTAGATTCTTTTGAATTCTCTATGTGAAAAATTACCTATAAATACAAAGGTTTTATTTCTTCCTTTACAATCTTTATAACTTATATTTCCTTTTCTTGCTTTAACACGCTGCCTATGAATTCCAGTATAATGTTGAATAGCCCCTATTTACTCTTGATAAGCAACATATAGTATGAAGAATGAGTCTTTTGAAATGTAAGGTTTCAAATAACTTACCAATACAGAGAAGGTAAAAGAATTACTTGGTAACAGCCTGAGAACTAAGTTGTCCAGTCTCAGTTAAGTTTAGGCTATGGAGAAATAGAAGGAAATCAAGTTTCCAAACTTTCCAACACCTTTAAAAACTTTTTAAATTTTGAACTAATTTTAGACTTACAGAAATGTTACAAAAATAAGAGAGTTTTCATGTCCCTTATCTGAGTTTCCCTGTTAACATTTTATGTAACAATAGTATAATTATCAGAATCAGGAAATTAACATTGAAAATTAAAGATTTTATTTGAATCTCATCTGTTTTCCCACTAATTTCTTTTCTCTGTTCTAGGATTCTATCCAGAGCCCCACATTCCATTTAGCTGTTATTCTTCCTTAGTCCTGTAATCGCTGATAGTTCTTCAGTCCTCACTTGTTTTTGTTTTTGTTTTTTGACTTTGACACTTTGGAAGAGTATTAATGGTTCAGTTATTTTGTTAAATGTCCTTCAATTTGGGGTTGTTTTAGGTTTCTTCATGATTACACTAAGGTTATACATTTTTGGTGAGAATACTACAGAAATGATGTGTCCTTCTTAGTGCATCATATCATAGGATTTGTGATCTCCAAATGTCTTACTACTGGTGATGATCAAGCATTGAACACTTGGTTCAGGTGGTTTTTTCCACATTCTCTTCTGTAAAGTAGTGGAGTAATTAATAAATATCTTGAGGAAAATAATTTGAAACTATGCAAATTCCATTACATGCTTTACAAACTTTCACTCACTAATTTTAATACCTGTTAGTGGATTTTATGTACAATAATTATTACTATGGTGTTTCTCTAATGATGATTTTATATTTTCTTTAATATTTATAAATTGGAATTCTACTGTAGGGCAGATCTGGCATCTTCTTAATAAGGTCTCCACCACGTAGTATTTTATTTCATTTGAAGAAATTTATGAAGTCGTTAGGTACTACCTATTCAAATATAAGTAAAACTTTCACATTATTTACACTACAAATTATTTCATTATTCATACAACTTAAAATAGATCTTAATGTAAAACATAAAAATATAAGACTTTTAGAAGAAAATATAGGAAAAAATCTTTGTGACCTGAGGGTTAGGTCTTACATATGATGGAAAAAGAACAATCAATAAAAGAAACAAATTGATACATTAGACTTCATCAAAATTAAA